AGACTAGGATAAGTAATTACCAACTTCAAGGAGATAACAAGGCACAGTCTGTTGGAAGGACGCCAACCTAGATAACTTCGGACCAAAATAAAACTTTCTTTGTTTCCAGCATTCGCCCATACGCAGGTCCATACTCGTATTCAGGTGTCACAGCTCCAGCCTCCCGAATAGACCATGTCTCTTCTTTATCCTCTCCTCCCTGCGTGCCCTAGGATGGATAGGGAGATGGGCCTGGGTGGTCCTCTGACTGCTCAGCCAGCCTCTCTCCTACCCCAGTCTCCTCCACAACCCCCAGAGCCACATTTCCATTCCCTGTCAACTGTTCCTCCTCTCCCTCAGAGTCAGTCTCCACCAGGGGCATGACAAAACCTTGGTTTATAGCAAAGCTCAAGCAGCTCTGTTGCACCAAAGCGGATAGCTAAGGGAAAGGAGATAGGATCTTCTACAATCAGGCCAGGAATATATTAACAAGCAAGTCCAGGGTAACAAACAGAAGCTATTCAGAGGTAGTATTCAGTCGGTTCAGACCGGTTCTGGCATACCAGTAGCAAAAATTTTGAATAGTTCAGAGAACCAGTAAATACCACCTTTGGGTGACCCCGCCCCCCCCACCATTACCTCTCCTAAATTCCCTTGTTTTTTTGCAGCTCTGCTGATTTGCATGGCAGAGTGGATTGCTGCACCTCAGCTGAGCTAAAAAACAACACAACTCACCAGCATTGACACAGAGGGCGGTCTTTGGGCCCTGAGCATGCGCATAAAGTGCATTTTCAGAACCGGTAGGAAAAAAATTAGAAACCCACCACTGAAGCTAGTCCCAAAAAACTGAAAAATCAGTTCTTAGCTAATGAACCTGTAACTGTGTGGAAAAGCCTGGAATATCATTAGCTCCAACAGACTTTCTCTAATTCCTCCCCGTATTGTCAACTGGCAGATGACCTGAATGTGGTTTTACCTTAGGTCTGAGAGCAATCACTATCATCTACCGCTACCTACCCCACTTCAGATACAACAACAGTAACTAATTGCCACTCTCACTTCCTCTATCCCCAGTTTTGCTGCAATTCGTGTTCTATAATGGGGTGGTACATCACTTCATCTGGAATCTAGATGGGTTAGAAGAAGACATCCCTTTATCCAAAGAACAAGCTTTTAAACAAGTGAGTAGAGTGTTCTCCTTTTTAACACAATTATCAGACCCAATGTAGTTTTGGATTGAGTGATATTAGGACACAAACAAAGAATAAATATTTTTATTTTAAGAATGACAACTCAGAAAAAGCTTCAGAAATGGTTATCTACGGTTGAGATTTGTATATCAAAGCTGGCAATTTTTAATGATCTAAAGCAAGCAGAGGGACAAGGAAGGGTAATAAGGTCAACAGCACTGAAATGAAAATTTAAAAATAATTTATCTATCAGTCTTTACTTTCCCTGATAACTTTACCTTATTAAGTGAAGTTGTCCCAAGATTTTTGGGAGAGTGAGCCTGAATTCCAAGGTCGAATCAGACAAAAAAAAAATGTAATTCTTAAGGACTAGAACTCTCGTCCAAGACTGCCTAGGAAAATAGAAATGTCTAACTTTTTTCCATCAGAATCTTACTGCCCAAAAAGCTACTAAGGAACTGAAAAAAATTATACTGGAAGAGGGAGAGCTATATATTTGAATTTCTGAAAGAAAGGGAAGATATAAATCTGAGATTATTTCCTTGATCCAGTTTGCTTTTGTTGACAATCTGGAGACATAAACCAGCACACAGACATTTAATTCCTGGGACCTTTCAAAAGTCAGACTAAGAGTTGCAACTATTCTTTTGGTGATCAAAATTCCTCAAAAATCTATTTCATATATTATAAATTGGCCCGCCCTGCTCACGCTTGCAGAAGAGACCTACTGCAGACTACCACCAGGCAAGGAATTTTGGCTGGTGGGATCCAGGACAAGAATCTTCTCTTCCATGATCCCTGCTCTTTGGAACATCTTGCCATAAAAGTTAGGGTTTCCTCCTCCCTCCCCGTTTTTTTTTTTTTTTAATAGTCTTCAGGAAAAACCTTAAAAATTGGCTATGCCAACTGGAATGGAGTTCTGAAGAAGCTGCTGGGTAGAGGTACACTAACTGAAAAGGCACCCCATCTCTCCCTTCCAAACCTCTGTTTTTTAGCTTATCTTAATTTTTTGTAATTTTAATCTTTTTTCATTGTCATACTAGTAGTCCTCCATTTATGACCACCGCTGAGCCCCAAATTTCTGTTTGTAAGCAAGGCAAGTTGTTCAATGAATTGTGCCTCATTTTACCACCTTTTCTGCCACCGTTGTTAAGAGAATCACTGCAGTTGTTCAATGAATTGTACCATCGTTAAGCAAATCTGGTTTCCCGTATTGACTTTGCTTGTTGGAAGCTGGCTGGGAAGGTTACAAATGGTGGTCACATGAACTGGGACAGTACAACCGTCATAAATACATGCCAGTTGCCAAGTTCCTGAATTTTGATCGTGTGACCATAGGAATTCTGCAATGGTCATAAGAGTGAAGAACCAGTCATAAATCACTTTTTTCAGAGCTGTCCTACCTTCGAATGGTCACTAAACGAATAGTTGGAAGTCAAGGACTATCTGTTAATCGTTTTGGTTTTGATTTGTTTTATTGCATTGTAAAGCTGCTCAGAGTCACCATGAACTACGAGGTGGGCAGCATACAAATTTAACAAATAAATAATTCATCAAAAAATACATCATAATCATATAAAAGAAACATTTTATAAATCCTTCTCAGTTAGCAGTGATTTTGCAGAATTTTTCCTGGCATCTCTTCTGGCTGTCTGTTCTTGAACCATCTAACATCCCAGATGACACCTTCTTGTTCTGTCTCATCTTTCTTCTTTCTCAAAAGATGAAAGAGTACAAACTCACACAAACACAGGCAGCAAGCTGACTCGGACTTCACAGAGTTAATTCTTTGGAACCGATAATGTCCTTGGCATGCCAACACGCTCTGCCTGCCAAGTCCTAATTGATAACAAGTAAAAAGCTACTCACAGAGAATTACAAGGCAGACCACAAGAATCATTCACAACAAAAAACCTGAAGTAAGATTAAACTTTGTCCCATACAAAGTTCCAGCCGACAACACACCCCTGTGGGGTGTGGCTCAATGACTCAGCTCACTCTCTGACCCTCCCACGCCTCCTACGTTGCTGCTCACATTTCTCTCTACGATGCTGCCTAGGATCAAGCCAACATTCTTCCTCCTGACTCCCTGTCAGGGGCTGCTCCGACATGCCTTCCTCCTGATCAATCTCAGGCGGTTCCTCTCAGTTGTCTGATGAAAGCCAAGGCATTATCAGGGAGGAAGACACTGCCAGAGAGGAAGGTCCTGGGGAGGAAGGCATTCCCAGTTCCTCCTTCTCATCTTCCAAGTCCTCTTCCTCTAATAGCACAGGCTCGGGAATTGGAGCCACAACACCTTCTGCTACACTTTCCAAAGAAATACATCTTTTCTCTTAAGATTTAGGGTTTTTTGTACCATTTTTGTTTCAGCTACACATTAGCACAGTGTTTCATCCAGTGGTCTAAGCCAGTACATACGCACAATTTAATACAAACATCCTTGAACATTTTGTTTCTAAGTATCCAGTCTGGGGATGTTCTTATCTCGACAAGATCTAGTGCATTTGGTACAATTCATAAACATCCGAAATAAAGAAAAAAACAGCACAGTATGTGTAATCTTTCTCATATGTTCTTTATCAAGAAGCATCTATGTGATTTATGTTTACCTCTCCACTAGACACATACTGCACAGCATTAGCTCCATCTCATCTCTGAACAAGATGGTAATATCACATTGCTACCCTTTAATTGCCATTTCCTTGCTCTTTGGAAATGTTGTCCTTTCAGACAAATGAGGAATTAAATGCTGTTTTTAAAACTCTCAAAAGTAGATTTAAAAGATCTATAGCCTCAAGGGAACCTGAACGATGAAGCCAGATCCAAAAGGCAAGAGTGTAATATCAAGGATGGAGCACTCCATATATTAGATACTGAACTTCTTGAGTGGTAGTGTGTTATTCTACAGTTGTCTGAATTCACAATTAGAGTAGGTTTTGACAAGCCCCCAAAAGCCAGTAATAAACCAGAATGTTGCGAATGGACATTTAACGTTTTTTTTCTGCAGGGCAACATTTTTGCAAGAGGAAGACTGTATAATGCAATAGGCACTGAAAAGATTTAAGAGTCAAGAAGAAACCTGTTGATATCTTAAACAACTCTCACAAATCCTTGGATAATCTCACCTATAATATGAACATTGGGCTATTTCAAAGAGCTGCTTTAAATGCTACTGTGATAATATCTCAGGCACTTTGAGTTGCAGAAATACTAAGAATGTAGGAAGGTGTGACTTCAGTTCTTAAACGCTGTCAGGATATAAATGCTACTTATGAATAAACTAAAGACTACTAATTTTATGATGGCATTATTAGTAATCATAGGTTATGCAAAAATTATGGGGGGGGGGCATAATCCTTTTCTGCAAAGTGTTCTAGAAATAGCACAAATGATCATTCTAGTTCATTCAAACTAAAACTTCTCCAAGACAAAGCACCTGACACACTAGGGCTATACTATGTAACTATGTGGATATGTTCTCCATTAATGCACTGAATTCTTTCTTTCATCTAGTTCTGTTTCCATACATGTGGACACCACCTCACTGAGAAAAGATTTTATAGCCTTTGTGATCTGTGGGAAATGACAGCTTTTTGCTTCATTAATTCCTCATTTTACTTACATTTCCCCTCACAAGAATGACTGGCAATTTTCTCCTCTTCAACATCATTACTGCATTTCTAAAACCTTTCTACATAAATTAAGGCTTTGCTTTAAAAGCAACATGGATTGTGCTTGCAGGCTGAAAAAGCAATCTCTTTTTGCAGACGGTAACGTTCAGGCAATGAACTAGAGAAGCAATCTTGCTCCAATTAAAAGGTTCTAATTTACCTGGCTCCAACAATGAGTTGATTCCTATTGGCATCTAGAGCAAGCTGAGAGAAGTCCCGTACACCAGAGTATGTGAAATTTGAAACCCAAGGCTTCAGATCTGCAAAGAAAAATGAAAAAAAGATAGAGGAACAATATCACTGGTGAGCAAGATTTCCATATGGCATTCAACTAATGGATCTCCGACAGAGTATTGTTCAATATGTGGATAATTAACTATCTATGAAATTCCACTTTGCTATAATTGGGGGGGGGGGTTTCCCACCAAGGTAGCAGTGACTGTAGTAAGGTTTGTCGGTTTTCTAATTAATTCAATTCAGTTTTCTAATTAATTCTAATAAAGTCAATTCAATGGTCAGTCTTCTAATCTACGTAGTAGGTAACGGAAAGAATTGATGGTAGCTTCATATCTTACCATCATAGGTTGGGCAAAGGTTATTTAATGGCAGAAGTTTTTGTGGCAATCACTATTATTCCTGTATAAAACTATTTTTAAACAAAAGAAAATCCCACAAGCAAGAATAGGGAATATTCATTAGAAACTATAAAAAGATGTGGAGCTCTAAATCTCCTGTAATGCAAGAGACTTTGGTTTCCTTGTGTCGAAAAACATTAAAATGTTTGGACCTCTATCCACTCTGAATGGCAACTTTCCTTTAAAATTAGCCATGTATCAAGTTATCCTATTAAAAAGATAAATAGGACACAATTATTCTTAAGGGTTAGTCACAAGGAAATTTGACAGATAAGGCTTTCTGTGCACTCTAAGATTAAAAACAAAATTCTGCACTACCACATATAAACGTAAGACATAGAGTTTTATTAAAAGCCTTCAAAGTGTGCTTTAGTTAGCATTTGGTTTATAAAGGATGTGACCAAAATGGAACAAATGAGGAAGCAAAAGAAAACAACAATAACCCAGTGCATTAATAGAAAAGATAACGGTTTCAAGATAATAGAAATTCTGCTCCTTTCCTGTGTTCCAGTTAGATAGATTTAGTTAAGCAAAAACAGTAGCATATAATATTTCTAAAAGAGATGTTTACTCCAAATCATTTTAAGATGAAGCCTTAATTTTGTATTCTTTGGAAAAAGATAGTGCATGTATAAAAAATCCTGAAATCCAACCCTATGCAACAACATTAAACACATGAACCATAAAAATAGAAATGCTTATGAAATTATTTTCAGGATTATGAACTGATATTCAAAATGTTACCACAGATTGTAGTGTGTATGGTATTTTAAAGGCATTGTTTCCTTTAGGAAAGAAATAATCCAATAAAATTAACTTTCAAGTTGCCTTATCATTACAAGAATAGAGGAGGTTTTGGCTTTTAGTTTTTTCCATGGTATTATAAGTATAACACTTGTTTATTCAATTTATATCTTGTCTTTCTGCTCAGATGAGCACTTAAGGCAGCTAGTATAATTAAAACAAACACACAGGCACAGTGTAAAGATTAAAACTAAATGTTTCCAATACTAAAACTATTAACAACTAAAAGCTTGATTAAAAAAGATGGGTCCTTACAACTGTTTTAAATGCTGAGAGAAATGGGTCAAATTTTAAGGGAGCTAAGAAGGTGACCATGGGTGCGTGGGTATGTCTGTGTGGTCTGTTAAAGGGGAAGATTTTAACATTGATTCTTAATGGTAGAAATGTTATCTTAATCCCCTGGGGACCTCACATTTAACAAATGAAATGAGCAATCCACATTTCAGGATATCACATGGTACTTGTATTTTGCAGTGTTTAACAGCCTTCCATTTTACACCAACAACAACTATTAGATATTTTTCATGATTAGTCCCACAGAAAAATCATGACAATATTAAAAGACGGGGGACGTCTAAAACACAGATAATTGTCATCAAATTTGTTAGGGCCCAAACCTTAATTGTGGAAGAGCCCCTTGTTATAGTTGCTCCTTGTGACAGTTGAAAATCACCTCCATTTGTTCAAAAGGAGAACTTCCAACCCCAATCATGTATTTCCAGCTAATTTGGACATAAACTGTTCCAACCCATTATCAAATTTAGGCCATATTTTAAGGTCCTATCTGCTTATCCATCTCGGCTAGATGGTAAGGAGCAGTAGAATCTATTACTAACTTTCTAATGGCAATTTTACTCAAAAGCTCCCAATGACTTGCAGTACTACAGATTCAGGTGAAAGGGGAACTTAATAAAGTTTTATTACCACCAGTAGTCCTCAACTTACAACCACAACTATTACCAGAACTTCCATCACTAAGCAAAATGGTTAAATGAATCACTATTTTATTAACTTTGTTGCCATAGTCATTATGCAAATCTGGCTTCCTCCACTGATTTTTCTTGTCAGAGGTTGACTGGGAAGGTATAAATGGTGATATATGAACCTGGGACCTACCAATTGTCATATAAACATGCTAATTACCAAGTGCCCAAATGTTGATTACAAGACTGTGACAATTGTTAAGCCAGTGATTGTAAACCACTTTTTTCAGCACTGTTGTAACTTTGAACACTCACTAAACAAGTGGTTATAAGTCATGGACTACCTGTATATGATACTTCTTGCATATAAAAGTTTCTGTAATCACCGTGATGCAGTTCACACAGAAACTGCAAAATGATGCTAGAGAATTTTAAAATGCATGACAAAGGAGTGCTGTAGGAGTTTTGAATCCCATTTGCAGAAGCCAGAAAACCATCAACAGCTAAAATAGGAGAGCCATGAATTTAGCAGTGTACTATATCACAGGCGGAAACCTGTGACTTACCTGGCACATGCAGCTCCACCCCACACACCAAAATTAAGCTGCTAAAATTTGACAAAATGGTTGCTTCTACCAGCAACCATTTTTTTTGTTATGTTCATTTTGCAAACTAAAGGATAAGACTGGAAGCAACTACAGGGAGAACCGTTGCTTGAATGCCCAAATGTTAACCATCTCTCCCTCAATTGTTGTCTTCTAGAATCTCCCTACTCCCTTTCCTGCCCTTAAATCCTCTTCCTGTAATGTTATTGCAGTCTCCTGTAATTCTCTGGAAGACTGGGAATCTAGATGCCAGATATAATGCCGATGTGACAAGCCCTGCACAAAATAGTATTGCAAATTATTATTTGCAGGTGTCCTTCAGCTATTCTTAATATAGTACGAAATAAGTCATGAATATCAATTACTAGAGAATATTCAAAAACAATGCTATTAGAGAATAGCCAGAAATTTCATTTTTCTTCATCCAACCCATGAAATGTATGTATAAGAATCCAATGAACTCTCACATCTTTCTTGGAGAGAGAGACAGCTTCCCTTATCTCAATTTCTTTATTTTTTTCTTTTTGTCCCCTTTTAGAGCAATGCCTTGATTTTGACTAAAAGCCTTTAAAAAAACAGACATTTACCTAACTCCTTATAATCCTCATATAAATTAAAATTAAATAGACCCCTTTTCTGGAAGAAAGCAGGAAGCCTTGAAATGAATACTCCATGCCCTTCCTTTACTTTACCCAAAATAGTATTTAAGTTTCTCTATCAACCATGAGAATTGATTGCTTATCATACTGCAGGCCCCCAATAAATTATGTGTAAACTTCCTAATAAATTCCCTTGCCACTGGACAAAATATGAAGTGGCCCCATGACTTTTAGTCCTCAGATTAATTGTCTGACTACTTTAAAATCACTAAAGTTCTGACATAAAAGTTCTATCATACACATTAGTCCAAATTTATCTTAAAGGCTTTTACACAGCACCAGCTAGTTATTTCTCATTCTCCAATTAAAAAACTAAGGAAGCTGTTGATTACAGCCTCTAGGTCTTTTAAGTGGATAGAAATGTATATCTGTTAAATACATACAAATTGCCATAATCAAATTACCGTGCTTCAAAATACTCAAGACCTGAGACAGATGTCATCAGAAATCTTGGGTTCGTGTTGGAGTAATTTCAGTGATGCGATTTAACTGGTGTAACAACTGGTTTGGTGAGAACGCACTTCACTGGAACCGGTCTAAACCGGTAGAATTCCATCCCTGAGTAATTTTCTAGCCATTGTCCTGCTCTGAAAAAGATAAAATTTATTTGAACAAGTGCCAGTTCCTTAAATGCCATGATATTCAGTTTCAGAACTCTATTTTAGCACTCACATTGGACACATAATTTATTTCTTCAGTTATTATAAAAAGCAAGATTGGTGTTCAGGAGTGTAGAATGAATATACTAACTGTATCCTTCACTTTCCCTTTAATGTGTAGTGGGCCATGGCTCATGGTACAGAGCTTTTCAATCAGTGGGACCTTTTGGAATGTGACAAGACCTGAGAAACCAGAGTTCTGAATCCCATGGAGATGCTTCATGGATAGAGGAAGCTCTCCACACTGCTTTTGCCTTCTCCATAAAAACAGGAAGAATCCTCATTCTTGTTCCCCTGGAATATGAGTGGAATTTCCACATGTTTTATTGTACCTGAGGAAGGCTAATCTGGAGTGTCACTGACTGCAAATATATTTTCCACTTCCTCAAATTCATAACTCTCCCTAAAATCATGTATGTATTAATATATTTATTTACATTTTCTCACTGTTTCTCTCGTTCACCCACTACATGCAGCAAGCTCAACGTGGCTGGACTAAAGAGGAGTCTGGAGAACTTAATGATAAAGAAAGTTCTAATGATTATATACTACTGCAGTCTCAGTCTATAATAAATGAGAGGTGGTTTATGTGACAATATTAAAATCTGCTCACGCATTCCAACTGTGAAATTTCCTTATCCCTCACTTTCAAACACAAAGGGAAGAGGTTTGGAAAAGAACATTCTCAAGAGTGGGAAAAAGAAAATTGTGCAATGTTTTCTAGTTTTCAGTGTGTGGGATATAAGACATCTATTATCCAATGTTTGATATTTATTTATAAGCATTAAAAGGGAAGATGAAGCTAGGTCATGACTTATGTCCACTAGCAAATGAATGCATTTTTGATATATCAGATCTGATCAGAATATTTATGTACATTGTATTTTGTTTAGATTACTATGGCATATTTCACACAAACCTGTCTTTAAAGTGTCTTTAAGTTTTTAGATGGCTCATCTTCAATTGTTCAATAAG